TATATATACTGTGTACATATAACTTGAAAAAAGCGAACCTGCTTTTATTTCAAGCTTAACCACCGCTCCACTATGTGTGAGCGTTTCAGTCAGTTGTATATAAGAGAACGTCTGGGGGTTAAAACCACTTTTTCTAATACTCTATAAATATAAACTTAGTGCCTGGTAATGGTGCATTGCATCAAAATGAAACGATATAATACACTTTCTTTTATCATTGTATTTCTAAAACTGGTTACCTCTGAGACGTATGGTTCGTTGTACAGTAGTGATCCAGATTATACAAGAAATTTCATCCAATGTATGCATGATTTGTCATCTATAACGGCACCAGGTGTTGCCAAATCATTTGATCTTTCAGAAGAATATGTGGTTTAGGAGGTATAGAATGAATGCAGGTTGTTTCATAATTATTAAAAAAATATATATATATACTAAATATCAGTTCATTTAAAATGGCGCCCTCAATTAACAAGACCAGTGCAACGTTTTTAAAGAAATTTAATAATTATTTATTTCTTTAAAAAAAACACATTCCTACATGGATTTCTGTGCACACCAACGTCCAATCCCAGCACCACACTTAAAATACACACAACCCACCCACATAGCACTTGTTCGATCAACAATGATTTAGACTAATTCCAACTAAATAATTGTCCTTCAGCATCACGATTATCATCACTTATCACACACCACCCACACTTCGTTACCCTGCAAATTTCACACACCCATGTAACCTCCCACACACAAATATTTACACACACACACACTCCTACCTCTGTAACCCTCCATATCTGTATCATCCCCAGTTACATATTAGGCACACATATCTGCTCATTCTAATTCGTGCCATCATCAATTTTAAAGCAAAGCTTAATATAAAACTAATTGGACAAAAATAGCAACTACAGCTGGTCAGTGTAGGGTAAAGGAAGATGTACAAAAATAGACCAACATTTTCATGTATTTAGCAGAAAACTGTCATTTTAAATAATTTATTTTGACGACTTTAAGCCTAAAAACCATGAAGGTTCAACTTTGTGTCGGGTACCAAGGCCGTTGGCAGGATTGAAACTCGCTTACACTGTTGTCTAGCTAGTAGAGTACAGTCAGCGTCTGAGTCATTTGGCAAGTTGCCTTCTGTCTTGAGTATTCTTAATTTAACTTTATGCACTTTACTTGTATTGCGTTCAAATCAATGGGATTTCACCAGAAGTCATATTGACCTTTCGTATAAGTTGCACCAAGCCTAGCGTCTGCAAATCATACCGCATGGTCGCGTACTACGCAAATAACCACACATCTACACGCCACACACTACACACACACACAGTCATGGCCCATCGTACTTAAATGTATTATTATTGGTGTTGTTGTTGACGTCATTGTGAATAGAATGTTCGCGAATGTTTGAATTAATGTAGGTATGGGGATGATGATTCATCGGTAATGTCGTTGAGTCCGCTATACAGCCTGCCGCCGTTGACGAAACGTCTCCAGGTCTTCAGAATCCTTTATATTAGCCAGGTCATAGGTCTACTTGAACGCTTTTACCCTTGCTTGCATGCAATAGTGGAGGGCGTCGCCAATGATGTGGAATGAAAAATTCAGAATTATAATAATGTCTAGGCCTGAGTAAATTATGTTTCTAACGTTTTGAGTTATACTGTTGTCAATGTTGGTATAAGCTGATCTATTAAGCTAGTAACATTTTGAATTTTCGCCAGGGTTTAAGAATTGCATAATTATTTCAGAACAAAATGCATACATAAATGAAACGTACAGTAAAACACGAAAAATAGTCACTTTAAAGGAATCATACATTTTATTTTACTTACAAAAAATGCATATGGAAAATTACCGATATCTAAAACATAGTGTTCTTAAAAACAATCAAAACAACGAGAACGAACTCGTATTTCGTATCGTCTGCATTTCAGTTCTATCTTTGCTTCTTTATCGTTGGCGCGCCTCAATTGGTTGATATTGATGTTCAGGACTGATTGCCTACGGCGCAAAAATCTTGGTAACCACACCTCACAGGTCTTCATGGCATTGCTGTTTCTGTTTATGATTTTTCGTCAGTTCTGTAGTCTTTTTTTTTTCTGGAAACACCGTACCTTTTCACCGAGGTGTTTCGATGTCTGTGTACTTTAAAAGTGGGTATATTAGAAAGTTCCAGCGTCGAATCGTTGTTGAGGTAGACTAGCCGGCACCATGCACACGAATGGTCTTTCCAACTCACACATAGCATCATTCCACATAGGAACTTTTTGTCTTAAGAAGAAAGTTACGCAATTTTCAATCTCACCGGATGATTGTTGGCCGTTGTCTGGTTGCTCTGGTGCCCAGTTTAAGTAGGTAAACAATGACCCGTCTCCCCATCTGAAGACTTCTTCTTCAGCTATGTCATTACCACTAGTCCAAACGGCATAGTTCTGTTTCGATACGGTTCCCATTAACCTTTTCAAAAAAGTCTCGTCGTTTCTGCTCTGAAGGCTAACAAGGGTAGCAGGATCTCCATTGCAGTTCATGAATCCAGAACAAGTCATTTTTGCCTCGGTCCATGGCAATGCTTGTACAATTAGACGGTAACAATTTTTACCGTACTGTGTAAACAATGGCGGACAATTGGCTGTCGCTGCCACGATAAGGCACGAGAAAATAAGGAACTTCATGACTGAGCTTTGTCGCTGCGACTATCGGAAAGCAAAGCTGTTTTTACAAAGTTACCCAGCTCGAGTGATCGAAGTTTGTTTCAAGTAATCGGCGGAAATATAGCGCCCTCGTCAGTTGAAATTATGCGAGGGTTCCATCAGTCATGTAAAGTTTCCTTTACGTAATAAGCGACCTCGACCAATTAGATTGCAGGCATGATTAAAATGCAAGGAAGCGAACTTTCAATGATGAAGCCTAAAAGGCTCTTGTTTTTTTCATCCCACTATTCTCCTAAACAATGCAAAACTAAGTTTCGACTAGTAAATCTATTTTACAAGTGTCAACAACGTTCCCAGCAATCGGGAACAGATTTGGGAAATTGGTCGCCTTACAGGAAATCTTATCTACACTGTAGATTAGCCGGTTTTTGACAAAAACATTCATAATGCGATGGAATAAACACCTGTTTAAATGTTTGACCTTTGTGTATTACTATTTGTAAATGGTAGTTTAAAAATAAGGAGACAAAAATGCCAATTGTTCTTATTATTGGTTTTTCTGAAGCAAATTGCATCTGAATACATCAAAAAGAAAACAGACATACAAAAACTCAACACTATTTAAAGGACTGAAGACATCTTAAGAATACAAATCACCAAATTGTTTTTTTTTTCTTTTTGTTCATCAACAATTTTATCCAAGATTATTCCCGGAGTTATAGCTACACGACCTCAATCAAACAGTTCATCAATCAAATTATTAATCAAATTGTCGATTATTCATTTAATCAATTAATCAATTATACCAATCAATTAATCAGTCAACACTAATTAGAAGTTAGTGGACGTTTAGATCGAACTCAGTAGATGAAAGTATATGTAGGCCTATGTTTGGTACTTTCATACGTTTGTAATGTGTTTTAGGCTACAGTGATTTATCGTTTAAAGTAAAATAAATTCTTTATCGTCTAGCATGTTGCGCTCTATCAAGTTGAACCTCAATAAAACACCATTATATATATATCATAATCATCGTCATCATCATTATTATTATTTCTAAAAAGAAATCAGGTGAAGTCGTCGACTATATGAGAGTAACAGTAACACATGTATCTTGTAATGTGTGTTTACTTGATAAGATAATTTTATTGTATTTGTATATTGGACTTAATCTTGGGGCCTGGTAGAGAAAAGTACTTATTTGACTAGATACTTCAACAAATAATAATGAAAGTAGAGTTAAGAGGACATACTCACAGACGGGGTAAATATTACATCGCAATCACAATGTCCAGACTAAGAAACAAAAGGAGGGAAAAGGAGAAAAAAAATTTGATGTTATTACATAGTTGCCCCTACGGTACAGATACTATTTGTTGGGTTTTCTATTTTAAAAAAATACAAACCTCATTTGGCGTTTTACCTCAGCCTCAATTTATTCTTATTTTGTTCTGATTTTTAAGCATGTTCAGTCGCAGTGTTCTTATAAAATTGTGTAGGTCTTGTTATAGTACTAGGACAATAAGCATCAACGATGACGGAGGAGAGCGGCTTGACCTATATTATTATTATATGAATTTCACCTTGAGCACGCCAACTAAAATATTTTTATTTATTAAAAATTTCAATGGAAAAATATTCTACTGTAGGTGAAAATATTAAATAGTCTATTGCTAAAGGAGGGTTAGTGATGAACTTAACAAAAAGCTTAGGCCAACAAATTTGCATTCTTCGATCGGAAACGCTGAGTAATAATCTAAGCGAAACTATCAACAAAATTTAAGTCAAAACACATTCATCCAACAAGATCTAATTTGCAAGGGTTTAAATATATCTGACCATATTTGGGCATACAATTTTCATATCCTGGTTTTTTTCTAATTTTTCTCAAGCCCTCACTTATACACTGTGGCGATGCGTGTGTATGTGAGTGAGTGTTTCAGAGCGAGATATCTGCGTTACCATGACAATGCATTACTCACCGTCACTTATCGGGAAGGAAACTACATTTTGAATTTAGAATTATGACCTTTTTAGTAACTTAATTAATGGATTTGCGTAGGTATTATTTTTAAATCTGGTTTCGAATTTAGACTATTCGACTACAAAATATTGTTTCTCCTTAATTTGGTTGTCTATTTACTAAGAATCATCAATATGAAATGCAATAGTCAACCAATGACTCAAATTCCAAGTGAACCGTGATGTACTGTAGTTTCACACTGACCAACAATATATTTTCTACTTTTTTAATTAAGGACTTTTTGAGATATTACAATAGACTTACAAGAATTACAGGTAATCCCACGAACAGTTTAAAATTGAATTGGTTATTCAAATCTATTACAAACGTTTATATTAATAATTTAAATGAACAAAATTATTATTATTAAATTAAAAACAAAATTATGAAAAGATCGAATCCACATAGTAAAGAAGTAGAAATTTAGTTTGAGCGTTAGGTTCGTTTTGGTACCTTTTAGTTTATTTATGCATAACTTAAAGTTGTTTCCTCTAATAATTTGTTAATCTAATTTTAAAACTGTATTTTATTCTCGGCCAACAGTGGGTGGCTTGTCATCAGGTTGCAAGGAATTAAATGATGCTTTATATAAATTTAAGAGGTTTTGTTGATTAGTTTACCTTGAGACCAGTGGTGGCTCTAGGGTATTTTTCTGGAGGGGGGGGGGGGCTGAGCTGTTCGACAGGGGACTTGAGCTCGTAGGAGAAGGGTTTTAGAGGGTGTTCCCCTTCCCAAATGAGATTTTTTGAAGGAGAGGAACCTCTGGATGGCCAGAAATGACATTCTCAGACTGTGACAGGCATGTGTTGGCTTGGCGTGGGCCTATTTTTATATTGTTTTTAGTCCGACTGCCCGACGAGCTCTGTCCGATGGGGAGGGGGATTGACCTGTCTAGTGGGGAGAGAGGCTTAAGCCCCAGCTGTCCCCCCGCTGGCGCCGCCACTGCTGGAGACAACTTATAGAATTTGTCTCAGATTTACTGATTGTAGTGATGTCCTGAATGTCGGTGGACATGCTAAGAACATGTGCTGGAGTCTAAGCTTATCCACCAGGCTCGATTCCACTCAGCACTATTTTGTGTTTTAATTGAATTCATCCAAATTACAATGTTACTATTAGAGCCACTTTATCTTTATGAGCTGAAGAATGATAAGATACAAACAAAAACGACAGGCATTTGCTACCGTAAATGATCTAATAATTAGGCCTGTCTTGAATGGGGGAAACTATTTTTTCGTACTGACAGACTCCTATCTTCAAAACTTATCATTACTGCCAGGACAGTTTAAAGTTTCTCTATATTGACAAAGATTTATTATACACAGATATACATTCTTGTATAAATTATAGTATCTGTATTCACATTTATAATATTTATGTTGATTATAATCACTAGACACATATCGAGCAGGAAGGACTAGGCCTCTTTTTATTAACTGACTCACAGTCATGGGATTCCGAGGGCGAAACGAAAATGTATACTTCACTAGCTATGTTCTAGAAAATGTTGAACTTTACGAAGAAAAGGAAAGGTTGAAGTAGTTTCTGATTCAAATGTAATGAAAATACGGTACTTATTTTAATAGAAAAAAAAATTGCTTCCTAATCGGCCGCGTTTTAAACCCGACTTCCGACACGAGAATGCCTGACAGTGTCTCATAGGCCTAAGTATACTTGCTTATTAACACAAAACAAGAATTTACAAATAGCACGAAGATTAGACCACTTCCACATTTGAGAGACTTTTACTTACTTATTTTCTTACTTATTACTTACTTATTATTTACTTTCTTACTTATTTATTTCTTACTTACTTATTTACTTACTTATTTTAAAATCATTTATACATCTCAGGTTATACCAGACTGAAACATTTTCGTAAGTTAATTTTACTGGTTGGAACAAAATTATATTAATTATATATACCTGTATTACTTATGAATTTTACAAATGGGGTAATTTTTATTGAGACACCAAATGATGCGACCCGCGAAAGCCCGAAAACTTACTTACTGTGGGTCTTTTGGGTAGAAAAATTGACACCTGCTCTTCTTCAAAGAGTGTACCTCGTTTATAATGTGTGCATAACCATATTGAAAATAGGACCAACAGCTTACATGTGTTTTTTTTTTTTTTATAATTTCTTAAAGACTGTGCGCTATTGAAATTTTCAATAGTCTTTTAGCTTAAGAATGGATTTTAACCTGGGACCAAGTTTATGTTGCCATCTCCACTTCAGCGCACACACACCATACTCTTCAACTTATGCTGATGTATCGTAATAGATAATAATTGAGGCAGAAGGCCCACGACTTGTCATTTTTTTCTCGACATCATGTGCATGTCATTTAAACACTCGATAAGCATCTTAACCTCCAATTTATTGTTCACATCCCATTCAGTTGCTTTCTTACTTTTTCTTCAGTATTGTTAATTGTTCAATGCTGAAACTTCAACCAGACCTAGTTTCGATGTACGTATAGCCTCGACATTGTCGGTACCCCTGGACGTAAATCACGGGTTCGTTAAAAAGACAATGAAAATTATAATTTACACAATTTCATGAAAGCTTGTATTATTTCATTTTATTAGTCATTAATAACACTAAGGAGCACACGTTTACGTCAAGGGACCTTATTTTACGTAAATAGTTGTAAAATTCGACCGTGTACACACAAGTTGAATGCGCTTTGTCTAAGATGATAACATAATTACAATACGATATTCTATATCGGCGTGTGTCATTTTGCGCCAATATTATTCCTATACATTTTTATGAGCAATACTCAATTATACCATTTTCACCAACATACTTATAATGAAATAGTGTATAGCATTAGTATTTTTTTCATATTCAACAATGTTTTTATAAAAGCAAGAAGTTATTCAAAATTGTTCAATTGTAATTATTTTGGCTTGCTTGGACACGATCTTGTCTTCAGGTCAAAGTTTGTCGTCGCTTGTAACAAAGGAACCATTGCATCTATTATCTCAATGATGTGTAAAAGTAATAACAATACTAATCGAGTCGGAAACAACATCTAGAGAGGCTTTTAGAGACAAGGACAAGTAGGGCCACAGAAAAAAGCTAAAGGACAAAGGTAAACAGGTCACCAAGTCCAGTTACAAGTCGTTGACTCTACGCTTCGTTTTTAGAACACTGGGACTAAAATAGCTTATAAATTAAGAACAAATTGAGGCTGAGGTGAATTGTCAAATGAGGTTTATGGTGTACCTTATTCGCAGCAGGTGTGACTATTTTAATACCCTCTATAAGTATAAGAGTACAGTGATATACTGCTGTACAATAAATATTGTTTAGGCCTATGTTTGAAAAGTGTATAAAATGAGAACAAAATAATAACATTTTAAGCCTGAGATCTGCGAAAAAATAAGAACACTGAGTCTGGGAAATATTTTACTGGTTCTTATTTAAAAAAAGTGTATTTCATGTTCATTGTCTTTGAAAGATGGGTTAATATCGAATACCGTATACTGTATTGACATACCGGAAGTATAGAAATGGGGATTGATAAAAGTAGGGGTCCCAAGTTATCCATTTCGGAAGATCTGTTCGAATGAGCTTTCTTAACATAATTAATTTTATTTTGCTGTGCACGTTGATACCCATGACGTATGTGAGACAATTGATAATAAAGTAGTAAAAACACGTATGTATTTGCGGGAGATTCTTGCTTGCTTGCCTGAGTACGTGAGGCCGTCCAGCTTTCCGGGAGACGCCCGTGAGTTTTGGGAGACCACTGTGAAGGGGGATAGGGGGTGGAGAAAGATAAGCAGGGTCCAAAATTAGGTAAGGGGCACAAGCTGGAAAAGTAAGGTGATATGAGATAATTGTATCTTCACTGTAATTTGTTGCAATAAACAATACAGTGGGGATGATATACGCAGGGTGATAATTAAAAACGCTGACTCTTAGGAATGGTCCTGTCAAAATATGCAAACTATAATTAGAGAGTAGACGCTCATAAACGAGTAAATCTGCTGGCGACCCTCATTTTACTGCTATTGTTAACAATTGCAGGGGCGGATCCAGAAGTTTTGGTTAGGGGGGTGGGGGGCTATAGGTATATGTGTAAAGTGCCTCCAAGTGCCTGCGGAGGCTAGGTTTGGGAGGAGGTGTCTCCGTCCGATAAGATGGGGTTCAGAGGGGTAGCTAAACGCTTTAGCTATTAGATGTATGTATGTGTGTGTGTGTGCGTA